ACCTGCTGGGCTCCGGCGATCCTTCCACCTCAGCCTTCCAAGTAGTTGGAACTACAGGTGCACGCTACCATGTCCGGCTAATTTTTGATTTATTGTAGAGATGAGGTCTTGCCAAGTTGCTCAGGTGGGTCTCGAACCCGTGGGCTCAGGCAGTCCACTCACCTCAGACTCCCAAAGTGCTGGGATTACAAGCTGAGCCCGGCTAGTTGTTTTTAATAAATTACATTACTTGATTCAATCACTCTAGTTATGTAATCTCTTCTGGACCACAGGCCATGAGGAAGGTCTGTGCCTTAGACATCCCTCTGCCATGACTATTAACATATAATTCTAGCATACAGCTGGTGGGTGCCTTTTAAACATTTATTGTATGTATTAATGAATAAACAACCAAATACATCTCTCAAGGCCTGTCACAAATTTAACAGTACTATTACAGGTACTGCACATAATCTTACCATGGTTTACAAGACCCTGCATAATCTGGACCATACCCCTTCTATACTGTACTATACTATACTACAGTCATCCTGAACTTTTTTCAGTTCTTCTCATATGCTCTTTCATATTCTAGGGACTTTACATACATTGTTCCCCTGTGCCTGAAATACTCCCCCTTCCCATTTAAATTGGCCAACTTCCATTCATCCTTCAAATCTCAGATCAAATGTCACTTTCTCAGAGAGCATGTCCCTGGCCTCCCAATCTGAACTAGAAAACCCCTGTTACGGCCATGTGCAGTGGCTCATGCGTGTAATCCCAGCTCTTTGGGAGGTTAAGGCAGGAGACTTGCTTGAACCCAGGAGTTTGAGACTAGCCTAGACAGCATAGCAAGACCTCATCTCTACAGAAAAAAAACAACAAAAAACTAGCCAGGTGTGGTGGTATGCCCCTGTAGTCCCAGTTACTCAGGAGGCAGAGGCAGAAGGAGGGCCTGAGTCCAGGAGGTCAAGGCTGCTGGTGAGTCCCTATTAATCTCCTTTGGAACACCCTGCTTTTTTCTTCATAGCCCATTTGTCGCTACGTACGATTTGCCTCCCCCACTAGACTGGAAACTCCTTGAGAGCAGACCACGTTTGTCTTGTTCAGTAAACTTAATGCTTAGTATAATGCCTAGCCATATGGTATTTATTTAATCAATATTCATTTAACTTAACATCATATGTTGGTTACAGATGCCTCAAGGGCAGGAATCTAGCTTGGTATCTGCTACTTCTTGGTGTTCCAAGCTTTTTTAAGGGGCTCACGGAGGTTGGTGGGCACAGTGCTCAGGTATAGGGTCTGACCGGAGACCCCTAGCTCCCTACCCTATGGTCTGCATCATCCTACCTTTGGCCCAGGCAGCTGCAGAAACAGGGGCACGAGAAGGGTCAGGTACCTGGAGAGAGAAGCCAGTTCCCTGACTTTTCTGGGGCCTCGCTCCAAGACTTGTCCCCTACCACAACCCATCCACATGACCTCCTCTTCTTTTTAGTGGACTCACTCCTGAGGAACAAGACCCCTTCTCACACACACATACTCACCTTGGTTCTTTCACCCATTTAAGAGCCTCTCTGGCCTGTGCCCTTGCTCCTCTGCTACTGCTTTCTTTATCACCCATAGACAGATGGAAAATCTCCATCAAAGGCTAACACTTTTTTCCAGGCTCAGAGGATCACAGCAGGGTCCTGGAAGAAGCTCCTGTTATGGGACAGGAATGATAGTTTTCAGAGCTACCCCTCCCCCAACACACACCCCAAGACCTAAAATAGGAATGACCATCTGGATCCACTTATGGGGTTGGCTGGGGGAGGGAAGGATGGCAGAGCTGGAACTGCCAAGTTGGGAAACCTCTGAGGGTAAGATGCTGCTTGTTTGAAGTATGACCTTGGGACACTTCCTCTCTTGGTGGGAGTTACAGCACCCCCAATTGGTCCCATGTGCTTGGGGCCCTTCCTCTCTTGGTGGGAGTTACAGCACCCCCAATTGGTCCCATGTGCTTGGGGCCCTTCCTCTCTTGGTGGGAAGTCAGAGCACCCCCTCAATTGGCCCCAAGTGTGAATCCCCAGGGCTCAAAAACCTCCTCTCTCAGGCCATCTCACTCCTGGCATTCAAGGTCCCCCATAGTCTGGTCCCAAATTTCCTTTCCAGCCACATTTCTCACGGTCTCTTTCAGGACTTGCTTGGAGTTAGCCTTGTTGACCTTCCTGCCCTTCAGAGAACAAGCCCTGCACTTCATACCTCATGTTGCTTCATTGGGAATGCCCTTTCCCTCCTCTTTTACACCCCTTGCAAGGTTTCAGGCAAATACTCCCTTTTTGCTCCCAGAGCACGAAGGCTATGTTTCCTTCCACCTATTGAATATTCATGTGTACTTGCATTAGCATTAGCTGTTTACATGTCTGTCTCTCCCAAGAGACTGTGAACTCCTTGAGAAGGGAACTGACTGGAGCTATTGGTCCCCTTATCAAGGAATGTCACCAGAATCATTTGACCATACGTGGTCTCCTTAAGGAATCTGGGGAAGAATCACCTCAATCAATAACCCAGGGAAACGGGCTGAGCCAGGGGCTATTACTGCCCCAGGTCAGAAGAGCTCCTGGGCATGATGCAGTGTATGTGGCCTGTGGGAA